ACTGAATTGTATAGTAGTGAGAGGCTCACACGAGCCTGCAACCAGCTATCTGCTGTGCCTGAAAAGGGGAATGTAACTCTGCTACATAAAGAAACTTGCTAGAGCAAGTTAGGAAGGATATTAATAAACAATATATCCTCTCCTGCCACCCTGAACATTCCCAAATTGGGAAGGAGGCACGAGGCTCTGGCAGGGTCCTGGCATCCTTCCAGCTCTCTCTTTCAAACATTTTTTTAATTCAATTTCACTTTTAACATTTATCATCACAATCATCATAACATTTATCATCATAATCATTTTACAAATAGGATTCTCAAAATCCCCGAACTTCCCTCCATGGTTTCCCCAGATATTCTTTTCAAACTGCTTCATATCATATTCTCCATCTTTTCCTAAAACTCAGTTTTTTATCATAGTTCTCTGTGGTGTAGTGGTTAAGAGCGGTAGTCTCATAATCTGATGAACTGGGTTCGCGTCTCCGCTCCTCCACATGCAGCTGCTGGGTGACCTTGGGCCAGTCACACTTCTCTGAAGTCTCTCAGCCCCACTCACCTCACAGAGTGTTTGTTGTGGAGGAGGAAGGCAAAAGGAGATTGTTAGCCGCTTTGAGATTCCTTAAGGGGAGTGAAAGGCGGGATATCAAATCCAAACTCTTCTCTTCTTCTTCTCTTCTTCATTGCAAGTGTTTTCAAAATCCTGCTAATATTTTCAATTGTTTACATTGGTGGGCTCCTCTGTCATCATGTTACATCTTCTCTACGCAGACTTTGTCTCTTCACTGCGGGGTCTGGAGAGAAAACGGGGGTTCATCAGGTTGGAAACTTCAAAGTCAACCCCATTTTGGTGTTGCTTTTATTTGCTTTCCTGGGCAGCACCAGAGAACAGTGATGGCATGGGCTGCTTCCCCCCCCCCCCCTTAGAAGCAGAATGCACTTTTGAAAGAGGAGCTAATAAGTGCTCTCTCGTTGGTTGGTTTATACTGGCTGGAGAATCCAGGCATCCTTTACATGGAGTTTAGGACTTGCATCCAGTGCAACACTGAGTAACTTGTTCCGTTAGTGCAAGGATTTATGCTTGCTCAATGGAACTTTCTCCTGTACTCCCATGTGCCTCCTAAATCTGTTCTGGGCTTTCCCTGACCCTCCAGAGCAGATTCGAGGGAAGGAGAAGGGAAGTCCACTGTGCAAGTGTAAATCCTTCTGCTAATGGAACAAGTACCAGGGATGCCATCCTAGGGGATGTACCAAATACGTCTACTTACAGAAAGGCCCATTTGAATGGATTAATCTAAGTGAGTTATGTCCTATATTTTCAGTGGGTGTCTTTTCGTATCTGACGTCCAGGCGTCACGCACAATGTTGTGACATCGCACGTGATGCCTGGACGCAACGCAAGCCCCCACAATCTCTTTCTCGAGTTGGCGTGCCTGCCCTCAGGTCACTTCTCTCCCACCTCTGCTCCCGTGGAAAAACTGAAAGAGAGAAAGTGTGTACACACGAGTTTCCCTTTTCCAAGGGATCTCAGTAAAAGCTGAATCCAAATAGAATGAATCTGAACCTTGGAAAGGTCATAGAGCTGAAGGAGGAAGCGGGAAAGAGCATCTCTCTTCCAGCTTTCATTCTTCAGCCTTGTTTGCTTTTCAAGGGAAAAATGGGTAACCATTCTCACCACCTCATGTGCAAGGAGGCTGTGTGAGTGTGGTGCTCAGAGGGTTCATAGGCAACCAGGGAAGAGCTCGGGATTGCCATTGCCTTTTGGTGACCCTCAGTTTAACTCATTTAATCTAGCCTATAAATTACCCAGGGCAGGTTCCTTTATATTCTCTTCAATTAGAACACCAGGCTTAATGACAGCACTGAAAGGGAAGACTGCCTCGTTGTAGGGGTGCCTTACAAAGCTCATCTAAGGCCTTACCTGTCTGGAATGGCAACATTTTCATAGGCAGGAGGGTCACATGTTGGCAGTTCAGGTGCCTCAACAGTGGAAGTATTTTCAGTCCGACATCGGCCACCTGAGGGAGAGAGGCTACTGGGAACCAAATCTTAACATTCAAGCTCTCCATTTTTAAGAATATATGATATGTGTGGCTTAGAGTACTGGACCAGGAGCTGGGAGACGAGGGTCCAAATCCTCACTTGGCCACCTGAAGTCCACCGAGTGACCTTGGGCCAGTTGCTATCTCTGAGCTTAACCTCCCTCGCAAAAGTTGTTGTGAGGATAAAATGCAATGGGGAAGAACCAACATATGCCACCTTGAGCTCATTGTAGGAAAAGTGGGGCAGAAATAATAATAATAATAATAATAATAATAATAATAATAATGTGCTGCCCATCTGACTGGGTAGCTCCAGCCATTCTGGGTGGTTGAAAAATAAAATAAAATAGTAAAAGCACAATAGAACACCACACACTAAAAACTTCCCTGAACAGGGCTGCCTTCGAAAATGCAATAAACAAATAGACATCTGCAAAGGAGTTCTCCAGTACAAAAGGAATGCAGACAATACCTTCAGACCAAAAGGAATTTTGGGTTACATGCCACATTAGATGCCTCAATGAGGCCTTTTCAGCATTTCAGTCATACTTTATGTTACGTCCGCTTCATGTTACGTTCTTTCAGGTTACATCCCGTGGTGACCCGGAAGTACCGGAAAGGGTTACTTCTGGGTTTCACCACTTGCGCATGTGCAGAAGCGCAAAATGATGTCACGCGCATGTGCAGAAGTGGCGAATAGCAACCCGTGCGTGCGCAGACGCGCTGCTGCGGGTTGCACTCTTTTAATGTTGCGAACGGGCCTCCAGAACGGATCCTGTTCGCAACCAGAGGTACCACAGTATTCCTCTGCAATAGACTATTTTAGACTGTTTCACACTATATATTAGACTATACCTTGTGAAGTCGAGTATACCTGAAACATTAATTTTGGCTGCATCAGTCTCCATTTTAAGTCTAACGAAATGTTCCATACAGATTCTAAAGCAATTTCCCATTATTTGGGCTGTATGGCAACATTCTAACTCCCTATTCTGTTCCTATGTTCCCACACTGCTTATTCCCCGCCCCCCACTGCCCCCAATACGGATTTGTAAGCAACAGCCCCAGCTTTAACTTTCTAGCAATTAGTTCTAGCTTGCAGCTTTCATTGTCATACTCACGGCATCTGCAGAGCGAGACCCCCAGCCCAATCAATGACAGGATCAGAATCAAGATCCCAGTAGTGATCTTAGCAATGTCCTCTGCCTTCCAAGCAGCTTGACTTGAACGAGAACCTGGAATCGAAAAAGGTCCTTTTGAGGGCTGCAGTGGCCAGATTAATGGTCGTGGTTACCTTTAGAACTCAATTAACCAGTATTCTAAAACCGCTGTGCCGACTGCCGGTTTGTATCCAGCACCAATTCAAGGTGCTCATGCTAGTGTTTAAAGCCCCAAACAACATACCGTATTTTTTGCTCTATAAGACTCACTTTTTACCTCCTAAAAAGTAAGGGGAAATGTGTGTGTGTCTTATGGAGCGAATGCAGGCTGCACAGCTATCCCAGAAGCCAGAACAGCAAGAGGGATTGCTGCTTTCACTGCGCAGCGATCCCTCTTGCTGTTCTGGCTTCTGAGATTCAGAATATTTTTTTTCTTGTTTTCCTCCTCCAAAAACTAGGTGCGTCTTGTGGTCTGGTGCATCTTATAGAGTGAAAAATACGGTAGGTCCCAAATATCTGGAAAGCTGCCTCCTTCCCTACAGACCACCCTTAGTGTTACGATTGGCAGGGGGATCCTTCTTTGTAGTTCATCTACCCTCACTTGTCAAGGGAGTCACCCAGGACTCGGCATTCTCTGTGGCAGCCCTCAAATTGTAGAATATCTTCCCCACAGATATATTCCTAGCACCTTCTCTATACAGCTTTTGGTGAATGCTGAAGGCGCACATTTTTACATGGCGTGTGTCAGCATCGCCCTTGAGCCAGTGCCACCAACTGGACTCATCCACTTCAGCCCCGACTGGGCTAGGCGAGCTGGGTAGCACTTCCAGAGACCACCTTCTGCACAGGAACAGGTCAAAGTGCTGTGGACTCACAGCTTAGAGTTGTGAGCACCGGATTCACTCCCACAAGAAGACAGTCGTCGCACAGCAGAGTACAGCAGACTCTAGCAGAGTATATAAACAACTCAGAGAGCAGCTCTGTAGAATATCTTCTTTATTCTATCTACAACTATTATACAACTATATACAGAGCTAAATAGGTCTAAGCATAAATGAATGCTGCACTGCACTGAGTGTCTGCAGCTGCTCTTAGCAGCAACCTTATCTCTACACACGATCTCTAACACTCAGTCGCTCTCTCTCTCCGACACTGACTGACTGACTGACTGACTCGGTGCTGGAGCAGAATAAGTAGAGAGCAGAACACGCCTCCTCCTCTCTGGAGAATCAGCAGACTCCTCAGGAGATTCTTGGATGTGGGAGGGGTGAAATCTCCTCAGCGTGTATGTGTTTTAGGACCAACCCTATCTCTGAAGGTGGAAAATTGCAGCTGCCAGGCATGTTTGCCCTCAGCGCCTCTCATTTTGCAAAATAGGCATTCACTAACTGTGGGTTAAACCACAGAGCCTAGGACTTGCCGATCAGAAGGTCGGCAGTTCGAATCCCTGCGGCGGGGTGAGCTCCCATTGCTCAGTCCCTGCTCCTGCCAACCTAGCAGTTTGAAAGTGCAAGAAGATAAATAGGTACCACTCTGGTGGGAAAGTAAATGGCGTTTCCGTGTGCTGCTCTGGTTCCCCAGAAGCGGCTTAGTCATGCTGGCCACATGACCCGGAAGAACTGTCTGCGGACAAACGCTGGCTCCCTCGGCCAGGAAAGTGAGATGAGCGCCGCAACCAAAAGTCGTTTGCTACTGGACTTAACTGTCAGGGGTCCTTTACCCTTTTTTTTGACATCTCTTGGACGCACACAACCCACCCACCCCAAGAGAGGAGAATAGGAATTGCCAGCATGGTCAGGCTAGGATTACTCACTTATTACGCTGGGATTGCTTATGGCGTTGCTAATGGGGTTTCTGGCCTCACAGGTATAGGTCCCCAATTCATCTTCGGAGGCTCCAGCTAGAGTGAGGGTTCTGTTCTGCTCAGAGAGTCCTGCTTGAGCTTGGAGGAGCTCCCCATTCTTGAACCAGAAGACTTTGACATTGGAGCTGTCTGAGGTGCTACAGCGCAAGGTGACGCTCCTGTTCTCTGCCAGCACCGATTCTACAGGCAACAGAACTGGTCTGGAGAGGATTTCTGTACAAAGAATAGAAAGAGGCTTATCCTTGGTGAGTCCTTGTGTGTTCCAGCTCTTGCATTCTCCATCCCATATGACCATTAAGGAACCCCACCTTTAGACCATTCCCCAAGACAGGAGAGGCTCACTTTGGAGGGTGAGGTTGACTAGACTCTCAGGTGAAGCACATGGGATGCTTTACTTAATACCAGGGACTGGGCAGAGGAAAAATGGTGGAGACTGCCTCTCCAGCCTGACCCTTCCAGAGAAGAAGAAGAAGACAGTTCAGAATCACAACAACGCAGAGGCAGATGAGGAGGAAAGCTGGAAAATAGTGGGAGAGGAGGAGGAGGAAGAAGAAGCGCCAGGGGAGAGACAGCTGACAGACTCAGTGTCTTTAGAAAGCATTCCAGACCCCTCCTTTCCCAGAACCCGGTGGGCATTGAAAGTAGGACAGCAGAGAGCTCAGAGGCCAAAGGCACAGCTCAGCCCACCGTAGTGATGACGCATAGTGGGAGAGACAGAGGGGGTAGCGTTTCAATCAGAGCAACACCATTACTCCAAGAGGCTGCATTTCTAAGCCTCTCTCTGTGAATATTGAATAAAAAAAATTGGTAAGAACTTTCCTCGTCTTCTCCACTCCTGGCAACCTACCATGTGGGGTTGCATCCTCCGAAGCCTGACATTTAATGACGCAGCAGGAGAGACAAGTCAGGGCGCATTTAAACTAGGCATGAAGGAATCTGTGGCTCCCCAGATGCTATTATTGTTATTGTTAATTATAAAATTTGGTTAGTTCCTTCATCTTGCCCTGGGCAAAACAAAGTGACTTCCAAGCAAACAACCCCACATACCGTATTGGCCCAAATATAAGCTGCACTTTCCCCCCCAAATTCTGATCATGCAGCTGATCGTGTCTGAAAGTGCAGCTTATATTCATGACCTTATGCCATTGGCAAAGCGGCGTGGCTCCCCCCACGCCAGGAAGCAGCCCAGGAGCACGGGGCAACAGTGCCTGTCCCGTCTGCGGCTCCCAAGCCTCCCCCAAACTGCCAAATTTTAAAGGTGTGGCTTATATGCGGGTGCAGCTTATATACAGGCCAATATGGTAGATACGTTAAAAGAAATACATTAAAAATATCACACCTATATCTAAAAGGCTACATACAGATGGTTGAAGGCCAAATACCTGTTTATATAAGAATGTCCACCCCCCCTGTGCCTAAAGATATATCAGGAGGGTGCCAGATGTTGTTCAACTCCCACTTCCTTCATTCCTGATCACTGGCCATGCTGGCTGAGGGCTGCTGATCTGGAGGCCCACAGATTTCCTCATCCCTGACATGAAGGCATTAGAAGGGCTGGAGAACGTCATACCTGAAACCTCCATGTCCACATGGCCTGTGGTAGAAAGCATCCCACCTTCGTCCAGTGTTACTGTATAAATCCCAGAGTCCTCTGGTACTAAATTCCTGATGTGAAGGGAGCAACCAGGACCTATTGTCTCTCGCAGAGTGCAGGCCACTCCCATCACATAAAATGGAGGTATATGGGTGAAGATCAGGTCCTCCGATTCCGCTGTCACCCCACGGTACCAGCGGCACCTTTTAAAATCTTCTAAGACAACTCCTGGTGTAAGGGTGACACCGTGTCCTGCTACTGGATTCAGTGGTTCCACAGCGATGGAGATTTTGGCGGTGATGGTGTCCTGACCTTGAGTCAGCAGGAAGCAAGAACTCACGATGGAGGCTGCAGTGTGGGATATAAGAGAGATTTTTCTCATCAAGCCAGGGGTGGCAATCTTTTCCAGCCTGAGGGACACATACCTTTGTACAGTGGACTAGTCTCTACACAACTACTACACAACCCTCTACCCAATGACCAGGAGAGAAAGACACATATTATTATTATTATTATTATTATTATTATTATTATTTTGAGGATAGATGGTGGCTAACAGATTGAGGCTGAATCCTGACAAGACAGAAGCACTGTTTTGGGGGAACAGGGGGCGGGCAGGTGTGGGGGATTCCCTGGTCCTGAATTGGGTAACTGTGCCTCTGAAGAACCAGGTGTACAGCCTGGGAGTCATTTTGGACTCACAGCTGTCCATGGAGGCGCAGGTCAATTCTGTTTTCAGGGCAGCTGTCTACCAGCTCCATCTGGTATGCAGGCTGAGACCCTACCTGCCCGCAGACTGTCTTGCCAGAGTGGTGCATACTCTGGCTATCTCCTGCTTGGACTATTGCAATGCGCTCTATGTGCATTGAAGGTGACCTTGAAAATACAATTAATCCAGAATGCAGTAGCTAGACTGGTGACTGAGAGTAGCTGCTGAGACCATATAACACCAGTCCTGAAAGACCTACATTGGTTCCCAGATGGTCCCCCAAAAGCTCTCCAGTTTTCCAAGATAAACAGTTCATCATTTCAATCTCTGAGTTTTACAGCCAATTTCAGCATCCTCCATTAACGTTATAAGCTGTCCTTCTTTGGTTGGGGTCTCTTCCTCTTCCCATTTCTGCACATGTAAGATTCTGGCTGAGCAAGAGGCGTTCTCAGGACCCATTCCAACTGTTGGTGGTGAGGGATTGTGGTTCCCCATGTACAATGCAGCATGAAAAGCTGTTTGAAGCCAATGGCAAGGTGGGTCCTAAAAAATTCTGTGTCTCAGGTGTCAAAGAAGAGTTTGGATTTGATATCCCGCAATATCACTACTGGAAGTAGTCTCAAAGCAGCTACCATTCTCCTTTCCCTTCCTCCCCCACAACAAACACTCTGTGAGATGAGTAGGGCTGAGAGACTTCAGAGGTGTGTGACAAGCCCAAGGTCACCCATGAGCATGTGGAGGAGAGGGGAATTGAACCCGGTTCACCAGATTACGAGTCCACTGCTCTTAACCACTACACCACACTGGCTCTCAAAGGCCAGAGAGGGGCATCTTCAGAATTTGCTGAAAACTTATAGTGGAGAGAGAGATCCATAACTTAGAATCCCCTTTTCTGGACTGTTACCCGCTGAGCTTCTGCAGATGGTGGAAAAACCAAGAGGACCCTCTCAGCTGATCTTAACACTCAGGAGGTGTGGGGAAGGAGATGGCCTTTGAGATATTTGGGATCTGACCATGTAGGGCTTTAAACAACAAAACGTTCCACCTCCACTGTCTGAGGTGTTATCCTTCTGGATACCAGTTGTTGGAAGTCACAAGTAGGGAGGGTGTTGTTGCAGCACTCGGGTTGTGCCAGCGGCCTTCCTGTAGACATCTGGCTAGCCTATGTGAGGATGCTGGACTAGATGGGCCTCTGACCTGTTCATGTTCTTAAGATTGGGAAGAAGGAAAAAGAAGGGTGTTGACTTTGGCAGAGGAACAGAAGGCAGGAGGTTGAATGCCTCCTACACTCCTCCTACACTCCTCCTTAACGCCCTTTCGCTGCAGACTCCCAGGCCCCAAATTTGTGCCACAATTTCATCAGGTGCCACAATTAGAGAAGGATACTGACAAGCTGGAAGGTGCGCAGAGGGCAGTGACCAAGAGGATCAAGGTGAGGTAATGAAGAACAGGGCAACATACTGAACTGAGCTTTTGGTATGATCCGAGCATGCTTGACAACTGTTGTTGTTGTTGTTTAGTCGTTTAGTCATGTCCGACTCTTCGTGACCCCATGGCCAAAGTATTGGAGTCTCAGCTTCAGGATCTGTCCTTCCAGTGAGCACTCAGGGCTAATTTCCTTAAGAATGGATGTGTTTGATCTTCTTGCAGTCCATGGGACTCTCAAGAGTCTCCTCCAGCACCATAATTCAAAAGCATCCATTCTTCGGCGATCAGCCTTCTTTATGGTCCAGCTCTCACTTCCATACATCACTACCGGGAAAACCATGGCTTTAACTATACGGACCTTTGTCGGCAAGGTGATGTCTCTGCTTTTTAAGATGCTGTCTAGGTTTGCCATCGCCTTTCTCCCAAGGAGCAGGAGTCTTTTAATTTCGTGACTGCTGTCACCATCTGCAGTGATCATGGAGCCCTTGACAACTGAGGTGAAACTTAATCCTGCAATAAAAATCTAACAAACCACAAGGAATTTCCTTTGTCTAAAGCTAACTAGTACGCCTGCTCTCACTGTTTGCAATTCAGACCAATTAGGAGGAGACAGCATGTTCATACCAGTGAGTTTTGTAAGAGAGAAACAAAATGCTCTGATTGGGTGACTGAATTTGTAGTTTTTGTAAATGAATAGAAAAACTGTTGGGTTCTTTGTTTGTTGTCCAGTCTTTGCGAAGCAATCCCACTAGATCAAAACTTCTGCGCAGAAATAAACGTTTCGACTCCTTTTTCACAAATCCCACTTCATGAACTTTTTGGTTTACTCATGAGAAAGGGAGCAGGTTTTCCTGCAACAAAGGGTCTGGAAACCAAGCCTTATGAGGAATGGTTGGGTATGCTTAGCCTGGAAAAGAGGAGACTGGGAGGAGATTTGATAGCTGTCTTCAAATATCTCAAGGGCTGTCACAGGGAAGATGGAGCAAACTCCCCCCCCCCACTCTGGAAGGTGGGACTCAAACCAATTCAAGTTACAAGAAATGAGATTTCAACTAAACACCAGGAAAAACTTTCTGATAGTAAGAGCTGTCCAACAGTAGTACGGACTCTCCTTCCTTGGAGATTTTAAGCAGAGGTTAGATGGCCCTCTGTCATGGATGCTTGAGTTGAGATTCCTGCATTGCAGGGGGTTGGACTAGATGACCCTTGGGACCCTTTCCAGTTCTATGATTCTATGAGAATTGCTTTGACCATTATTTGATGGCACTGTGCTAAGCTGCACCCACCCCTTTCTCCTGGTGATGCTGTAGAAAAAAGGAAATAATTGCTCTTGCCCAGAGTACACCCTGCCCGCCTCGCACCCACTGTGTCAACACTATTATATAGGCCATATATATATATGGTGGTAGCGAGAAGAACTGTTTTTGAAAGCTGTTTTGAGCATTTGTTCCTGGACCTTCTCAGCAACCTGCCCCCATTTCCTCTAGGAAACATGGGACTCGTCCACATTATATCACTACTTTGCTGTTAATCCCCATTATCCCCAATTGTGATAGACCAAAGCAGTCCACACCTGCATATATTTGCAACTTTGGCTTCACCTGTTCATACCAGGAAGCGTCCCCTGGGTTGTTTGTTCCTACCTTTTAATTTGTCAAATCTGTTATGCCAGTAAAGTACAGGCAGGGCATGCGCACAGAACGCCGTGGGTGCGCCTTCCTTTTAAAACAACCCCCACCCGAGAAATGTGCAAAAAGTCCACAGGCAATTGTGAACTTGCTTGTGCAATCGGTTCTTGTGTGTGTGAGCAAATTTGGGATAATCAAAATAAATAGATATAGCTAGTGAGGGATCAAAAGGAAATATAAGAAGAGCCCCTTGCAGGATCAGGCCAAAGGCTGATCTAGTTTAGTAACCTGTTCTCACAGTGGCCAACTAGATGTCTTTGGCAAGACTGGCATGCAGGAACTGACTCTTCCCTCCTGCCATAGGAACGAACTCCTAGGGGGCCATGGGGGCTCCGGCCCCCGCAATAAAATATTTGAGGGGGCTGCTCCCCCCCCCCAAGTTGGCGGGCATTGTCATTCACATGTTGTGTGTGCACTGCATCATGTGATGGGTTATGCCGGACAGGGCATGCCTAGGCCCCTCCCCCCATATTTTATTCATGTTGGCACCCCTGCCATCTCCAGCAACTGGCCTTCAGATGTATTACAATGGTACCTCAGGTTACATATGCTTCAGGTTGCATACACTTCAGGTTACAGACTCCGCTAACCCAGAAATAGTGCTTCAGGTTCAGAACTTTGCTTCAGGATGAGAACAGAAATCGTGCTCCGGCAGCGTGGCGGCAGCAGGAGGCCCCATTAGCTAAAGTGCTGCTTCAGGTTAAGAACAGTTTCAGGTTAAGAACGGACCTCCGGAACAAATTAAGTACTTAATCTGAGGTACCACTGTACTGCCTCTGATCTTGAAGGCAGAGCACAGCCATCATGGCTAGTAGCCCTTGATGCGATCCATGAATTTGCCCTCTTGTGGCAGTGAGTTCCATAGTTTAAGTATGTGTGCAGGAGGACTTTATCGTTGCTGAATCTTCCAACGCTTAGCTCCTTTAGATGCCCATGATTTCTGGTGTCGTGAGAGAGGGAGGAAAACATTTCTCTGCCCACTAGGCTGAATTCTAGAAACTTCTACCGTGTCACCTCTGACTCGCCTTTTCCTTGAGCTAAAGAAGCCCAAACTCTGCAACCTTTCCCGGCAGTGGTGCTTCTCCTCCATCTAGACATATAAAAGGCTAAGTTCCTGACACACCCACTGGCAAAGAAAGGAAAGGAGCCATAAACTCTGCACACAAAAAATTGCTGCACAATATATAGGGCGCAGAAATTTTCACGATGTGTTTTACTGCTGCCGTTTTCTGATTTTGGGCAAATCTTATCAAAAGTGGGTGGGGGTCCTCTGTCCTGGAGAGCATCAGAAATAGGAACAGAACTGGCTGTCGGGTGTGTGTGTGTGCGTGCCAGATTTACACATAAGCTGAACAAGCTATAGCTTAGGGCCCCTCTCTTTTGCCCCCCCCGATGTAATTCTTCTTAATTGTATTGCAGTTCAACAATTACTTTGATAAAATACATATTTTGTTATGTGCAAATGGCTTTAGATACCTATTGGGTCCATAAATTACCACATAGCATACAGTGGTACCTCAGGTTACATACGCTTCAGGTTACATACGCTTTAGCTTA